TAACTACGTAGTAGCAGGTAGGCTGATCAAACAGCTCCTCAGCTCAAAGGTGGGAGTTGCGCCAAGAAGAGTTGCGCCGAATCGCCGAGATTAGCGTCAGACAATACTTTTGAAAGGCACCTCCGTAAGTAAGGCGCGAATGCTGTCTGCGCCAAGCCCGTTTGTGCCAATCAGGGATGGTCCCTGCACGTGGGCAAGCGCGTGCCGGCAGTTGGCAGGGGCACGTGACCGGACCTTCACTGCTCATGTGCAGGAACAGCAGGCAAGCGCTGGGCATGCTTGGTGCGCGGCGAATTCCTTGCAGCGACGTAATGGATGTAAACAACTGTGTCCATGACATGCTGCTGGCCAGAGGAAGAAAGTATCCCTGACGTCCCTGTGCAAGCACGGCGCCTGGGGGCACCATGGCGCGGCGCTATGGAGAATTTGTCGGTGTGCTGGTTGCGCGCACATGCAGCTGAGATTGCTGGGCCGAGAGTGCGACGGTGCTATGTGGTGTCTTGTGCACGCCAGAACGACTCGTTCTCTCCACGCCCACGCTCGCATTCGCAGCAGAGGCACCTGACCAGGGGCTTGTTGTGTCCGCCACGGTAGCCAAGTATGTATATGTACGTTTGTGTCCAACACACATGTATGTGTGCCATGTACAGTAGGCTGCGTACATACTTGGGCAAATAACAGTTCCAGGGTACAGTAAGTACGGCAGCCCAGGCGCGGATGACGGCCCAGACTGTCGCAGTCTTTCTTCCTACGACGACGATGACGACTCGGGCGAGGCACTGCCGTGCCCTGTCGCCATTGATGAGACGTGTAAAAGTCTTGAGTGAGGCGGGGTACTCGAGGGTCGTATCGTCTGGTGTCGTGTCGTGTCAAGTCGTCGTCGTCGGTCACGGCATTCCGGCAGGGCTCTCCTCGGCTGTTTCACCTTGGTCCCAGGCGTAGGAAGATCTGCAGACAGGACCGTGATGACTTGTTGGCCTATGCCCGCGCGGCCAGTGATAGCCTGTCTTGCCTGATCCGATGCCTGTCACGATCCCCTTTAAACAGATCTTTTGACCTGATCACCGGCACCGCCATGGTGACATGCTGTGTCGTCTTGAGTGCACATGCACACTCTCGCATCCCAGGCGAGACCGCCAACCGACGTTTTGGTGCATGCTCCTGCCGTCTGCTCGTCGACTATTATGTATCTACACACATGTACATAGTTAGTAGATACATCCAGCGTGCATGCTAGTCCAACTTCGAGCACAAATGCGCTGTGTCCGCCTGAAAAAAAAGCGAGGCCGGCAAGTGTTCGGCACTAAGAGCACAAATCCCCTCCCCGCCAGCGCGTACAGGGCAATTTACGCGTTGGGCCTAGCTTAGTCATCTCCACACACACCATCCTCACTTATCGTGACACCCGCAACAGCAACAGCAACAATAACAACATCGACAAAAACCACGCCGACGTCGTCATAACGCTACCCGCCTCGCCAGCCATGTATGTCAGCAGCAACCTCAGCAAGCTGGTCCAGCCTCTCGCCCGAGTCGCACCGTGCCCACGACGTCTCCTCGCGGCAGCAGGCATGGTCGGATCCTCCTCGGTTGCACAACAGCATGCGCCCGGCTCGTAAGCAAATTGGACCTCACTTCCTTTCTGGCACACCGGGCCTAGCGCTGGCCAGAGCAGGTTTAACCGTTTATTTCGCTGCCATACCCAATCAGCGCCCTCGTTCGGGGCCCCTGCGACGTTATATTACTTAGGCCGACCTGTCGGGCCGCATTCTTGTGTGTGCTGAGGCCCAGTAGGCCAGCATGCGACGCCGGGCCTCCCCCGTCAACGATGCCCCTGTTTCCGCTCTCCCCAGCCACTAACACACGCCCAGACGTTGTCGCTCAGCGGCAGATACCCATGTCCCTGCACTCTTTGGATGCCACTAACATGGCCGATGCGCACTGTGCACCTTTCATCCTTCTCCACATGCTCTCCGCCGCTCGACCAAGCTGCCATGTACCTACATAGTGAGATCATCCCTACTCGCTCTCCAACCTCGCCGGCCTCAAATCCTCCACCTGCTCCCGTGGCACAAGATGGAACACTCCAGATAATGTCCCCCGCTGCCTATCTCCACCACCACCATAAACCACGTTCCTTACCCGCTTCACTACATCTAAACGTCTTGGATCCCATACCACCGTCTGTCTCAAGTGGGTCTGTGCCTTCCGTCAGCTCTTGCAACAGCCATAGTCCCTGGCCGCATCCTCGTCAGTCACCACACAGAGGCAGAGCCCTTTCATCAGCCCTCTTCCCGAGCTACAGCGGTCCGTGAACGCACCTTTGCATTGCCGTCTCCGTCCTAGCAAACGAGGCCGCTCTTCCTTGCTAGGTCTGCATATATTACTTCGGCTCTTATTGCATCTCGACTTCTGCTCTAAGTATCCTCGTTTGCCCCGCTAGTATTCCAAGCCTTGGCCCAGGTTAGTCCTTTCGCATCACCCAAGCCTTAATCCCCCCGTCCACTTCTAACGCCTCGTGCTCCAGTGGTCCCATAATACCTGCGCATAGACCACCGACGCGTCTGGTAGCCGTATTAACCACCTGCTCCATCCTTGGTCGTCTGCGATAGGCCACGCTCTTGCATCTTTCCTGTAACCTCAATGGTTGTGGGATTAAACATCTCTTGTCGGCCACCAGTCGAGACGCGCACAGTCCAACTTGCATTGACGACCTGACCTGGAATCTTTCTGCGCTACCAGTGAACTTGCAAGACATGTTTTCGTTCCATAAGAGCGATGTCTCACGGTCTCGACAGTCATCAATCGACTCACAGGCAACTGGAACATACCCCTCTACCTTTGCTCCAGACTCTTGGCAAGACCACCGTCCCGCACCCTCCTCCCATGGTGGTGCCCACTCGCCCGAACAACTACACAGATTCAATCCCGCCAGGCGAAGCTCCGTTTTCAACCTAAGATCGAGGAGCAACACTGCAACCTCCCTCACACCCTCGCTATTGTCTCAACACGACATGGCTGACCATGATGCCTCATGGCATGACTCACAATCAGGACATCCCAAGGCCCACCCTTCTACTGGATCGAGAAGGTCGTTGTTTCGAGGCAAGAAAGGAAAAAGACTGAGCGAAACTGGAATTGTTGGTGGTGATGATTATGAGGGAGATGCCAGTGAAAGGCGAACGTCGCTTCTACGAAAAGCTCGACGAAGCGGTAATCAACCTGAAGACAGTGGTAAGTGATGTGCTATCATCGCGCTGGCTTTCCAATCTCTTACTTTCATTGCAGGCAGCCTGATCAGCCGCATCTCCAGTCCATTTGACTTTCAACACCTCTCACATACCGACCGACACCAATTCGCCGCTCTTGAGCACACCGCCAATGAAAAGCTAGGTCCCGGATCTTTTCCAGGACGGACCTCGCAACCCTATCAGCAAAGCTCTACGCCAACCAACGACTCTTTCTTCAGCAACTTCTCTTCGGAAAACCTTAATGCAACCGAAAACAGGTCGTCAGTGACGTTGAGCATTGGCTCACCGCCTCGTAGCCCTGAAGCGACCTTTGCTGCTGACAATGCACCGCAGTTCTCAAACTCGCGGCGACCACTTCGACTAGCCAGGTCGATAGAAAGCTTCTCTCAGCCTGGCGTCAGTCCTCGCAAATACAGTCTCACGACGCCACCTGTGCCAACAGCCCGCATTCCCCTAGACCCCGCCTCTGAAGACAAGATGTCTGCTGCGCGCAGACTATCTCGACACAAGCGAGAGTCTGGTATCTGGGACTCTTTCTCGCTGTCTGCTGTAACTACCCCGGATCCTCTTCCAGAGATTGAAGAAGACACATCCTACTTTGGCCATGCTTTGACAACACCTGACGATTCTGCTATCCATGCGGCCACGCCCCCATTTAGCCCTAGTCTTGCCGATGTTGCTGAGGAACCAGAGCGCTTTGTTAGCCCAAGACCTGCACCACAACCACCTCTGAGAACACCAAGCTCACCAAAATCGTCGTATTTCGGATCATTCTCCTTTCAGAACCAGCAATCGCCTCCAAACAATCGTACGAACCCTCGAGCACAATTCGATGTCTCGCCGAGAGCAGAGCCTTCTCATTCGCGATCCTCGTCACAGCAGTCCGACACATTGGGCTCTGCTAATTTTGCCCGCAGAAGGTCCGTTCGAAGGCCCTCTCACCGTCGTCAATCCAACACGTGGCGCGCAATCGAAGAGTCATGGGAAGAAGACGTCGACTACATCTACGACAATGCATTGGAAGCTGAATGCGACCTGGAGTGGGATCGTGCATCTGATCATGGCGCCGACGACGCACAAGTCCCAGCCATTGCATACGCACACAACCATCGCGAGTCTCGCGTAATTCCTGTCGATCGCGAGAACCCTCTGCCAGTCAACTTCCGCTCTTCCTTACTTGTCCCAAGCACAAACAGTGTACCCGAACTTGACCCCACTTCTGCGATATCCACCTCCACACTCAGCACAGGACTACCTACCACGCCATCTGATCTTTACAGCGCCAATCACTACGGTCACGAGACAGGCTTTATCCTTAGTCCCTCTCTGTTGGTGCCACAGGAGTATAAGGATACTCGGGATGTCACCTATGAGGATCTCCTGGACGAATATGCTGGATCAGACCGTCACTTTCCAATGCTTGACAACGGCCGGAGCACCACCAGTTCTGCGCGCAGCAGCCACGTCCGGCTCAGCAGGCGAAGCTCGTATGATAGCAGCTTGATGTCTTCAATTCAAGGCTCTGGTCTTTGGAGTTCACCCGTTCGGCGCTCAGCAAGCTCCGCAGGAAGTGTACCTGAACTGGTGCCTTCTCGCCGTAACCGAAAAGAACTTGGTGTTAGTCTAGTTGGTGATCAACTCTCTGAACAGATTGCATCCCTGCGTGAAGATAACGAGGACGATGATATCACCCCGCCAGGACATGCCTTTGAAGGACGGACCTTTTTCGCTTCAGACGATGAAGCGCCACAGGATGAGGACCGATCTTTGAACCGCATCGAGACCGACGTCAAGACGTCTCTGGACCTCGCCCGCCGTGGCTCGCAGCGTGCTAACCACTTGACGGCCGATGAAGAGCTGGAGGCATCGCTCGACGTTGCTCGTCAGGACTCACTGCGCTCCAAGCGCACACACAAATCAGTCCTTTCTGATGGCGCAGCCAAACTTCTTGCTACTTCCTCCCATGCCGAGGAAAAACTAACCAAGCCACGAAGCCGTGCAGCGACTACATCCCAACCCCGCCCGCCTATGCTCAGGCTTTTCCCCCAACCACCACGACCAGTATAAAATATTGCTCGAGTGTATTTACTACATTGCTTTTCATCTACTCTACAGCCCAGGAGGCTCATGCGGTAGAACTAGCTGCACTCATACAAGACAGCTACGACAACCCCCATACATTCTGTGTATATATTTACGACTTACGTTGTTACCTTCTCTCACGATCTACTGGCACATTTATCATCGGAAGATCACAAGGGTTGGGCGTTTTTTCTTATCATCAGTCATCTCCTCCAGCACACTTGGACATTTCCTTTTTTTGTCTCATTTCCATCGGCTCGTTCTGAGTGCATTGTGTCGGCGCATCCCACTTCATTTCTTCGCGCTCTCCCATAGATCTGTTTTGTCAAAGCTCGGAACCTCAACCTCACCCTTACCTTTCTTTTGTCTATGGCAAGATGTTTTATTTATATTAGAGGCACCGGGAGATAATCATTATTCGTGTTCAGGACGAGGGTCGAGGAGTCGACCTTTCTCGTTCGAGGACAGATTGCGACGCTACGTCGCAAATTATATTGCATCACTTTAAACCAAAAATCCAACCATTACACTGATTAACCACCAGTAAACAAGCTTTGTTGATTTCCTTGAACATTTGAACTGGATTTCCAGATTGACTTGCATGTGCACCTGTGATGGGAATTATCACTCACCCTGGTTACAAATCCCCCTCTTGTTTGCGCCACTGTTTCAGCAACTGCTTGGATACGCGCCGTTTGATGACATCGGGTTGTCGCGTGAAACTCGTTAGAAAAACGGTGACCTACAATAGAGTTCGCGCCAGCTGAATAAACAAGAGCAAACAAGCAAAAAAAGACAAGCCGCGCTACGTACTACTGGGCTTTAGACCAACGTCTACTTACTAGCAGAATACAGAAGTCCTTAGGCTGATTCACACTACTTACGTACGCATACACACGGACCGCCGTCAGTCTTGTACCAGTCCCTTTTACGCCCTTTTTCGCCCCTCTTCCCCCCCAAGGACCCCTGAACAAGGGAATTTGTTTACATCGGACTACGTAGTGTATACTTATAGATTGCGCACGCCCCCCCCCCCAACTGCCACCCCGTCTAAAAATCAGTTCACCAACACGGACTTTGTACTAGTAGTAAGTATCCCGACCCAACTTGCGCCGCCCGCCTTGCTTTGTTTCGTAGCAGGGACGGGCGCGCACGTTGGATGGGAAACAGATAGTAGTAGTATATATCATCTGATATTATATTACCTACGCAACGAAGAAAATAGATAGATTGAAAGGCCTTTTTGGTAGGTTGCAAAAAGATTAGAGTTGGCACACACACACACACACACACACACACACACCAAGCAAGCTACGTAATATGCGAACACGCCTGGATGAACTGCTGAAATGTTTCCTGTCCACCATCCCTCCCTCCCTTCCCCTTCTACAGGAGTTTGACAGCGGACTAATTCTGCGGAACAAGGGGATGGGTGTGCATGAACCCCTGTTTTTTTTGCGCGTTGCAAGCCACATGAGAAGAAGAATGCTGGTCGAAGGGGGGGGAGGGGGTGATGGGGGATAGGGGTGGCCGGTCGAACTCTTTTCTTGTTTAAACGGCAAAATGGTTGAGGGGTGTTCCCTGGGGGTTGAGCTGCCAAGGGTTGTGCTTATAAGTATACTTAAGAAGCGAGTAAAATAGTGTAACAGACATGCATGATCCTTGATTCGTCAGGTTTTGTTGCAATGATAAGTTGGGACACTTGTTGAAGTTGTTTTTTAGGATTGGAAGGGTGCTGGGGTGTGGTGTGGGTGGAGGGTTGATTGGGGAGGTAACGAGTAGGAATGTGGTGGGATTGGGCTGGGAGGGGGGAAGGGGGGATGTGGGGCTAGCGCCAAGGTTGTGGTGAGGTTAATGTTGGGGTGATATGGAAGTGGAGGTTGGAATAAGAGGGGAGAGAAAAGGTAGTATGGATGGAGAAAAGGCCTGGATAGGATGTTTTCCCACGTCCGGTGCGGTGCTGAGTAGTAGCTGGGCGCACG